AACGAGAGGGAAGGAGAGAGAGAGAAGTGACTCAAGGTTGGACTAGTTTCCTGGGCCACAGATTCCCAGTCATTAGAATAGGTTCATTCCAAGCCGGAGGCTGGCCCTTCCTCAGCTTGTGTGGGAAGCGTCTCTTGGCTGTTGAGATGTACCGACCCCACATCCCCAGCTACATGGTTAGCCTCACATGTAGACCTGTGGAAGCTCCCTCCCGTAGTTGATTTGGGATGGAAAATTTTATCCTAAGCCCGCCTCTTCTCTGCGTGCCTGTGGTACTTTTTCTTTTTTTTTTTATGTTACTTTAATTATTTAAGTTATACTCAATACATTCATTTCAATTTAAGTGATTTTTTAAAAATAGTTCTCCCAGTCTAATAGTAAACTAAATGTCATCAAGGAATTGATTTCAAATGTGGACCCTAAAACCCACTAAAATTATATTCTTCTTGGTATCCAGTGAGCGTTCAAATATTGGTCCAGAATAGTAGGAGCTGAATTGGGGTGCGCTCAGAAGCAGTGTCTTAACTTTGTGATCACTTCTCATTGACATTTCTCATTAAAGAGGGCAATCTATTACCCAGAGTCCTAATGTTAGTTAAGATAATGTATTTGCTGTAAAAGCAATACAGTATCCACCTAATACGTAATTTTTTAAGAGTTCAGAAAACCACACACACTTTACTCAAGCCCATAATTCTTTCCTATATGATTATATGTTATGTGGAATCATAGAAAATTGCTGCTATCAGACTATTTTTGACCTCCAAAAGCAGCAGTTTCATATGGCACCACCAAATGAAAACAGTTTTATTCTGTTTGTGTTCATTTATCTTTATATCAAACCTGTGTCGTTTCTGCATTGTCTGCATGATTCATGGTTGACATTCATGTGTCATGTTCACGATGGATATGGGACATAATAGTTGCTTTGGCTTTTTTTCCTGTAAAAGAACAGAAAACTCCACACTTAATACCTTCCTTCACACAGCCATTCTCATTGATTGCTTCTTAATGCCGGTTTTTCAACTAGCGAAAACCAGTGTCTTCTCCTGCATCATCCTTTCTTCCCTCTGCACCTAAATACTTTCACATGTGAGTTTGCATACAAACTTAAGTGACGAAGCCAGCATTAGTGTGCACAGGCATCCAACTCTGTGCTCATGTACAGACACAGTTAAATGGGCCTGTTTAGACAATACATCCACCAGGCCAGCCAGTTTGTGCTTAAAGAAAATACCGAACTCCAGTGGGATGAGCAGCATTGTCCTCACCAGGCTGCGTGCCTTTAGTGGGATCCTCTCCAGTCTCCTCTGGCTGAGGCCTGTCCCAGCCGATGGCCCTCTCAGTATGCTCGGGCTGCTGGTAGAATAGCGCTTTGTCTAATAGGACGAGGGAGCAAACTCCAGGGATGTGGACCGACCAGAGGAAAACCCTTTGCTCTTGCCATAAGGACACATTCAGGCAGGAAGTGAAGAAGAAAATAGCCATTCCCCTGGGGATGGAGGCTAGGGAGTGGGAGGGAGGGAGCCAGCAGTTTAATTCTGCTGGGGGCGGGGCGGGGGGGGGAATAGTCACAAGTGGAGATCAAGAAAAAAGAATGGGATGATGTCATTCTTTATACTGGGACAGTCACTGAAATGAAATCAGGTCACACACAATGGTCTTATTCTGTGCCCTGAACCATAAGTGTTACAAGAGATTATTTCATGGTAATGCTCTTTAGGACGGGTCTATGGACCCTGCTCACATGAAAGGGCCTCAAGGCACCTTTAAAAGCCCTATGAAGGGCAGCCTCGTTCCATCCAGGGCTGAGCAGGCCCACAGTAGGTCCGCAATATTTGTTTAAGGTCACTAAGCCACAGCTGAGGATAAATAAAGTGTCTGGGTTCCTATAACACAGTGAATTTCATGAAGCGGAACTCAACTGCACAACATGGTATCAGGTCAGATATTTTAAATTGGTGCTTTTTTTTTTTTTGCAGGGTCATTTTGAATAACAATCTGAAGTTAAGGCAGAATATATTTCTCAATACAAATTTGGCACTTCCTGGGGAAAAAAATACTGCCTTGTACCTTGTTAGGGCACTGTTAGGGCTGATTAATTCTGCTGACAGAGGAAGCATTTGATCTGTGTTGATCAGAGTTCTTGGAGCCACTGGAAGCAGATATATTGAATTTTAGGTTCCTTCTCTCAGTGGTGTCCTAACTTAACCTCATTCATCTACTTAGGTTTCACACGAGGGCATCATCATTACAAATGAAGGTTTTCTAAGATGTTATCCCTGGACTAGTTAGGTCACAGGGTCAAATCCTGTTATTAAGATTCTGTTGTTTTTGCATTAATAGTGCTTAAAACAAGTAAGTCATTGATGGAGGCTTTTTTAAAGGATATTTTGGCTGT